AGAGAGGAGCAGAAGGCAAGAGGGAGGGGGAGGGGGGTGGGGGGGGAGGGAGGGGGGGGGGGGGGGGGTGGGGGGGGGGGGGGGGGGGGGGGGGGGGGGGGGGGGGGGGGGGGGGGGGGGGGAGCAGAACACGTTGAGAGCAAGAACCTCTGGAGCTGGAGCTAAAGCTGGAGATGGGGCTGGGGCTGGAGGCACGCCATGTGCCTATCCATGAGCATTTGCCAGTTGAACGCCCTTTTCACGGCAAATGATTCCCGATTCGCGATGCCTGTACCCCCATAGAGAGTAAGAGAGAGAGAGAGAGTGAGAAAGAGGGGAGGCCAGTGTTGTTGCAACTTCAACCTGCCCCAAACCCCGCTCCTTGCCCAAGGATGATGATGATGCCCACAGAACAGAACACTGTGTGGAAACTGAACTGGTTTCCCTCTCTCCTGGTCGTTGGTCTTTGGCGCTTTTTGCTGTGCCAGCCATTGGGATGTCTCTTTCGCTGGCAAAGCGGCAGATTCACTTTTTGTTGGAGCTGCACCTCCAGCGGGGGATTCTCTAATTCTTAGCCTAGGTCCTTGGCCTCTGTCTCTCTCTCCCTGGCAACTCCTGCTCTGAAATGAAAACGAAAACCCAAACGAAGGCAAGTTTGTTGCCTAAGTCTTTTGTTTGTGTTTGCGCGTGTGTGTGGGAAGAGTTCGGAGTGTATGTGGCAGTCAATGAACTCTCGGCATGCGTGCCAAATAAATAAAAGAAAGAACAACAACAAAAAGAACTACAGCGGAAGAAAGAAAGATGAAGAATAGCCACCCCACCCTCTTGTCATAGCTCGTACAAAGTTGGAGCATATCCAGCCCCACCCGGCAAGCCCCAAAAGCTCATTTAAATTGCAAAAACCATTCGATCCAAGCAAGAGCTACTCATACTAGTGGGATATTCGTATAAATGTATATAACTCATTTGGTATGCCATTTGGAATTGGATTCAACAGATTGACGGCTACTCGGCCCCTCCGAGCAGGTGGTGGTGGGCCCCTCAACAGCTGCAGCACACTACAGCAGTGACAGCGGCAGCAGCAGCAGCAGCCGCAGCAGCGAAAACGGCAGCAGCTAATGACCTTGATATTGAAAGTATCTTTGAATTACAAATTCTAAATGAAATAAGGGGGTTAATGGTTGTGGCGGGGGATCTGTTCATTCATCTCGTTTCGTTTCGTTTCGTTTCGTTTCGATTTCATTTTCAATTTATTTGTTTATACAATATTTTATAGCTTTTTGTTGTTGCTGCCGCTGCTGTTGTTGCTGTTGCTTCTGTTGGAGCGTGTTAGCGTGCCGATCGTCGGCAGTCGAGAGTCATTTAAAGTCAAAGTCAAGGTTTTTCTGCCTTACGTCGCCAATTATCTCTCTGTCTCTCCTATATAAACCCCTCTCTCTCTCTCTCTCGCTCTCCCTACTCATATGTACATCTCTTTCTACTACTCATATATGTCTCGCTGTGTTGCTCCTCTGCCTCTTTACCCTCCCATTTGATGATGATGTTGTTGTTTGTTCAAGCCCAAACAGGTTTTGTCTAATTATTTTTGTTTTTGCTGATGTGATTATTTAAAAAACCTTATATACATACCACTCACTATATTCTCGTATAGAAGCTTATATGTGTATAAGTTTTCTAATGAAATGCCAGTTCCCATCATCATCATCCCATTTCGAGCATTCTCTTCGCCGGCGAACAAGAACCCACGAGCTGTCTGCTGCTTATGCCATTTTTCTAGCCTGTCGGTAATTAATCACTATTCTTCGCCTTTGCCGTTTTTTGGGGCTTTTTGGTTGTAAACGTGTTTGCCTTGCGCCCCCCAATGTGGCGTGGCAGATTATTATATAACTTTTCTATCGAAATTATTTTATTAACATAAATCTCAGGTACCGAAGACTTTCTTTGACGAACATCATGGTTAAAATTAAACCCAAGTCATAAATTATGATGGTTCTAAAGGGGGGGTTGAGGTGCAAAGGGGTTGCAGTTGAAATTCAGGAATACAAAATAGTAATCAAAGTGATTAAGATGTCAATAAAAAAATGATGAATAAAGAAAAATTATCTAAGCACAAATCAAAAGAGAAGTTGTTGAGTGAAAAAAAGTTCTAACTGGAAATTAGAAATTATCTAACAATCACCTTTAAGAATAGATTAAAATAGGATATTCCCATCAGTTTTGTTTTTAAGTTCTATGGAAAAGTACATTTGGAAATGCATAAATTAAATATACTTCTCCCTGAAGATGCAATAAGTTGTTATGTCATTTCGAGAGGGTATACAAGGTTTTTAGGTTTAAAAAAACAAGAAAATTCCTAACGGTCTAAGACCTTTAGAGTTTTCCCATAAGAAAGCTTTCGTTTCCAGAATTTTCGAGAAGACTCTTTCGATGCCCTAAACATTGACTAGACCATAAAAGTTCTTTCTTTAGGACACCATCTCTTTACCTAATTCCAAAACAATTTTGAAGTTTTCGTGATAGAAGTGCAGTGAAGTTCCATAAAATAAACCCATAAAAACCTCGCTCTGTGCTGTTCAGAACCCATCGTTAACTTGTCATCGCTATAACAGTCTTATGGGATATGGTAAAATGTGTAAAAAAAACAAGCATTGGCAATAAATCAATTAAAAGTCAAAGTCAATGTAGTAGTACTCACCATTTTCATTGTTTAATTGCATATCCGTTCCGCAATGAAGTCGAAGCTGAAGCTGCTCGTGGATGGTGTGGCTTTTGTTGCTGTTGCTGTTGCTGCTGTTGTGGCGGCTAAATGTAAATCCATTACGCAATAAATCCAATCCCAAAAGCGGTTCAAGTTTCAATTAAGATCAACACTTTGTAATCCTCATGTTTGGATATAGATACAACATCTATATATTTACACAAATTCACTTTATATTTATTATATATTAATTTTTTTGTGGGTGGGAATTGAACTAACTTAAAGATTTAGTTGGATATTTGGGGCAGTCTTATGGTTTGGATGTTCACTTGTTCTTAACTCTTTTTCTTCCCTCCGATTGCACCTGGGAGAAATGGGATCTGGGGTTTGCACTTTGTTTCACTTGTATCTTCCGACAGTTTTAGAACGTTTTTCTGGAATTGTATCTTCTGTCTTGAGAAACGTAACGCGTGCGGGTCTTACGAAATCATGTCTCGATCGTTTTGTTGCTTACGGGAAACTGAAACTACGGATGAGTCGCGGTGCGACTTCAATGTCGATGTCGTTAGAGGCTTCTGAGTGGCAGTGGCAGTGGCAGTGGCAGCGACTGAGGCAGCAGCAGCAGCAGCGGCAGCGGTCGAGCAGACAGATAGACTTTTCAGACATTTCATTACACGATACACACACACACACACTCTCTTTCTTCTTTCTCTTCTCAAACAAAAACACGCACACATGGAGGTGGTAGAGAGTAAGCGAGTGAGCGAGAGAGAGAGAGAGAGGTAGTAACCAGCAATCGCTCAGGTGTCTCAGGTTCTTGATCACCCATACAATTGCCAGAGAGAAGAGATCTCGCTTGGCATTGCTCTCTCTCTCTCGCTCTCTCTGTTTGTTTGTGTGTGTGTCTGTCTGTCTCTCTATCTCCGCTCTTTCTTTGTGTGTGAGCGCGCAACAGGCCAGAACTTTCATTCAAGGTGAGCGCGCGCGCGCAGGTATCTCTTTGGCATTGGAACCAACAGCAGAAGCAGCACCACTACAGCCACAGTCACAGCCACTACAGCTCTGCCGCCAGGCTGCTCTTTTTCTTTTTCGCACAAAATAGTTCTAAACGTCTCTAACACACGCGGGAATGGTGAGGGGGGTAGCAGTAAATTGAGCATGGGAGCGTAAAATTACAGCAAGGCACCGCCAGAGCGCGGACGGACTCTTCTAACAAGTTTAGAATTCTGCGCAAGCCAAGCGCAACCGAACGACCCGACCCGCACACACCGATCGGCCGGCCACTTGTTCTCGATTCTCTTAACCCGTTTACAAAAGCACTCCACACTCTCCTGCTGACCGCTCTCTCTCTCTCACTCTTTCACTCTCTCGGCCAGAAGTCAAAGTGATCGGTGGTCAGTGGCAACGCGCGACTGTTGCATGTAATTGGTTTGTTTTATTTGTTTGTTGTTTTGGCATATCAAATTTCATTAGGCAATATAATTGCCTCCGAACAAGTGTCCGCTTAAAAAGGGGAAGTGACAGGGCGACAATGCGAGATTTACAAGCCTGCTTGTATGATGGCTTTTTGTTCCATTTATTTTGTAGAATATTACTACGATGGGTTAATGTGTTTGTGTCCTTATTTATATTCTTGTTTAAATCTTTCTTCACTAAAACTTATGGTCGATTCTATGGCTAACCTTATTTTAAGCAAACTTATGCCTTTAAAATTAATATATGACTCAATAACTTAACCCAACTCCAAAGTTCATGTGTCTGCCGTAAAAGTAAGAGCTTAACTTCAAACAAATCGCCAAAAAGCGAGAAACATTTGCTAGTCATGCAGTGACTCACATCCGATTCATGATCTAATCGGAATCAATAAAATTGTGCTATAAATATAATTGATGTGTAAAGCACTTACCCAACAATCCATCCACTAATTCTCCATCCCAAATGGTCATGAAACCTGCAAAGAAACACACACAAATATAAATAGATATACAAATAGAAATAGGAGTACAATCTATTGGATATTGGATATTGGATATTGGATAGTAAATGCCAAATCATGATTATATGAGCGCGGCACAAAAGACATTAACGAAACCTAATTGAAAAACGCGCATTTACATAACTAAAATGTAATTAACATGAGCACATGGTGGCAGCAGGGGGGGAGGCAATCAATAATAAGATACGACTCCGATTTAACCTTGAACTTTACGCTTGAGAAGGAAAGACAAAGGGTGGCCAAATAGATAGAGGCTTAAAGACAAAAGATATAGATAGAGTGGATTGGAGTGGCGAGGGCTCTGTGCGAATCCGCATCCGTTTTGGGGCCTGAAAAAAAGGCCTAAAGACGGACAGACAGAGGCTCATTAGCTTTGGCCACACTCCGTTTGGCACTGCCATCATTCGCTATAAATAACAATTGAAGCATTCTCCTACAATCCCAAAAAAATAAAACGAAAGAAACGTTGTAGCAACTGGGATTAGAACTTTTTGTTTTCGGTCATTAGAACCCAATCTTTTTTTTCTTCTGTTGGTTGGTTCTTGCGGCTGAAAGCAAAACTCTAAACGATGGGGTCAATAAATTCTTAAATACCACACGGGCATGAGCATAATTTTAACATTTAATATATCATCATTAAACCATCAGCGCTGTCCAAGAAAGGAAAGAACTTGAAAGTAGAAATAAAAGTGTTTTATGGACATTTTTGTAAGAGTTTATTCAATCATCAGTCATTTGAAACTATCCAAAGATGGTAAGAACTTGCAAGATGAAGGAATCAATATAAGTGTTGTATGATAATAGTTTTTGTAATGATCATTCATGGCCTGTCTGAAAGAAGAAAGAACTCATATAGTTTCAGAGGGATCTCCAAATAGAACTGACACACGAGCATGGTTATGCCATTTATTATATCATCGTTTCTAATCACGAAAGGAGAGAACTTTCAGAATAAACAAAAGTGTTTTTGCGTCTCAAAAAATTCCCCATATTCATCCATAACAAGTTCCATATCACAATATCTTTCCTCCCCAAAAAAAGTTCGACCATAATGGAAAGTAAATGTGGATGAAAAAAGGGTAAGCATAATTTTTAAATAAATAAAGAGTCGTTTAGGCCGAAAGCAGAAGAGACAGTCAAGAACAAGTGCGTTTTAGGCCTGACCAAAAAACGCACAAAATTTGTTTTTGGTGGCTCTGTATTATTTAACACCCAAACACAGGCCCAGACACACACGGGATACGATAAGGGGGCCTACGCAGGGGCCCAAAAAGCCGGCATTCAAACACAGCTGTCCCCCGGCCCGGCTTAATGTTGTCTTGGCCAACTCATCATCCAACCAGAGTCAGAGCCAGAGCCACAGCCAGTACCGGTGCCAGTGACAGAGCCCGCGTTTTGGCCGCTTTTGATGGCTCTTTCTGCTGGCTCTCTCACATTTTTTCTTCTTTTGGGCGCTACAATCATTTCTTTTCTTTACATTTCATTTCGTTTTTTTTTTTTCGGTTGGCCAAGTTATTTCAAGCTCACGCACACACGCACCGGCCGAACAAGTTCATTGACTTCTTACCAAAAAAAAAAAAAACAACAACCAAAAACAAAAAGAAAAAGGGAAAAAGAACCAACATTTCGGTTGTATCTCTTTTTTGGGCTCTGCCGCTGCCGTTGTTCTGCTTTTGTTGGTTCTTCTTCGTGGCTGCTTTTGAGTTCTTGTTGTTTTCGTTTTTTATACGTTTCGTTTTCATTGCTGGAGTTCATTGTCCAGGCCAGAACCACCAGCAGCACCAGCACCAGCACCAGCAAAAGAGTCAAAGAAGCTGCTGGCCATACACTGCCAAATAAATAAATAAATGATGGTTGAAATGAAAAGGCAATCCCAGTCCCCCTTTTGAATGTAATGAAATTTATTCTTTATTTATTACATTTTAACCTGTCCTTTGTTTCATTTTTAAGCCAAAAAGAAATTCTGTGATTTTTTGCGATTTTATTTATGGATTTTCAGTTTCGTTGTCTTTTTCCCTTTGCGCTTCGCCTCAAGTTTGTCGCCTGAATCTTTTGTCTTTTGTGTGTGGAGTGGTGTGGCGGCGGCGTGATTGATTACCTGGGGATTAGGCAATCATAATTCGTAAATTATTTTGCATGACACCACAAGAAAATGACTAGTTAATGTACGAGTAAAACTGTATGCTTCATTTGCACGCAATCAAATTTTGGGTGGAAATTGTCTGATCAAAGTATTGAAGAATAATTGGACAATGCTCTGAGGGTGGCGTAACTTCAATTTGATTTGCATTTGGCGGACTTTTAATGATAATTACTTCTCCCTAATTGTTGGTAATTATTTTGAGCTGTGGGAAGGGGTTCTAAATTTAATTGCCAACAGGCGACTGCCATGACTAAGAATGGAACAAATTCCAGATGCGAAAGGAACTCCCTGCCCTAAAAGTTCAAAAGTAATATCTTTAATTGCTGCTCCAACTGCAGATCAGTTCTCCTAAGCATCAACCAAATCTCTTCAATCCATCTTCAATCAAAAGGTTTTGAACCCGCAAACTTCTCTCGAATGTCTAACCAAGGATTGATCCTTGATGTAGACTTGAGTCAAGCAGCCCCGAAATCAATCTTAACCCAAATCTTGTTAAAGAATCTGATTGTTTGTTTGTACGAGGCTGGTCACTCAACAAATTAAGCAGCTTGCCACAGTACTTGTGGTTGTATCTGGCATTGCCACTTGTTGTCAGCTGCAGCAGCCGCTGCCACAACAATCTCAGATCTGGCCATCAATTACCGCCACTTTTTGGCCTCCCCAGTGGGTAAGTAGTTCAGCAGTTGCTGTTGATTATGTGTTGCAGCTGCCACTCTGCCACCGATCTCTGCCTCTGCCTCTGCCATTGCCTCTGCCCCTGTGAGAACTTAACTCTGGGCCCACGCCAGAGCAAAGCAGAACAGAACCAAACCGAACCGTGTGGCGGCTCCAACCATTTAACTGTTCGTAGAGAGGCGGCTGCTCCAGAGAGTAGGGGGGCGGCCGCGAAAGGTGTTAAGCACACGCGCGAATTTTGCGGTAAGAGCTCTCACCGCACCACACACATACACACAGAAACATAGATGCAGACAGACACAGATACTCATTGATAGACTCTGCCTGCCACTTGGCTGAGACTCTGTCTTAGCTTCAGCCACAAAAACAGCCACAGCCACAGCTTCAGTCTCCGCCACAGTCTCCATCTCTCTGACTGACTGTTGACTGTTGCTGTTGTTATCTATGTGCCAAACCTGATTTACTTCATGATTATGTTTGAAAAATTAGGTTAGGAGCAATGAACTTGCCATTCGTCAGAGGCTGGAATGGCAACCGGCCAACGGGAGACAGCACGGGAGACTTCTACTGGAGAATCAGAAACGGAGACGGAGACGGAGACAGCGACAAAGTGAATGCTTTTCTCTGTTTACCCGTCAGTCTGTGTCCGTGCGTCTGTTTGTCGTAGCAATAGACACCTGTACAGGTCAAATTGCTGGCTGTCTCTCCAGAATCATTGCACTCTCCGGAATGGACTTTGATTGGACTTGGACTGGGACTGATGTTCGGTTTGGTCGGTGAATGCCAACAAGTGTCCGTCCGTCAGCAGCAGACAGGAAGCAAAAGCGGGTTCTATGGTGGGAATCTAAAGAGAGTCTAAATAACTTCAAGGAAGCTTTGAGGATTTTTAGGCTTATAAAAAGGAAAAGATTTATTTTTTTTTTAATCGTAATGACCATCAAAGATCCTTAACCTATAGATTCCTCCCAAAATATGAAACATTTCCTTACACAGAAGAAGAACCCCAAATTAAAATGAAAATCCTCATACGAATCTCTCCAGCCTTTCCTTCCAAAAAGTATCTCAAGGTTCGCATTTCCAGTAAAAACACCCGCCAAAGACAGACATCGAAGACTGTGAGAATCGATAAGCAACTTCCCGCGACTCCGCGACTTGGCCAACTCTGCTCTTGGCCAGGTCTTGGTCTTGGAGCCAGCGATTGCCGCGAAGGAATTCACTCTTTTTCCGCAACGAAATGAAAAATGTGTGCTAAGCCAATGACCGACCGACAGAAGCAGCAGCGGCAGCAGCAGCAAGCAGCAACAACGGCGGCAGCAGCAGCGCACACAAAGGCAAAGCTAACTGTTAACATAAATACGTGTGTACGTGGGGCATATTCGCAAATCGCGAACAAGATGGAAGGGAAGGGGGAAACGACAGAGGAAGAAGGCAGAAGAAAGGGGAAGAACAAGCTGTGGCGAGAGGAAGAAAAGGGGAAGAGAGCGCAGAACAAGCTGAAGAAAGAAGTGGGATGGAAGTGGAATGAATCGTGATTCGAGCAGCAGCTACCTCTCTCTGTCTCTCTTTCTCTGACTTCAAGTGTTTGTGTCAATCCCCCCACACATACACTCTGCTCCTCCCCTCTGGCATTACACTGCTTCCTGCAGCCTACGCCAGGGAGGGGGGACAGGCATGATTATGATTACTCCACGAAGCAGCAGCAGCCAAACGGCAGAGCTCCAACAGAAAGCAAAGCTAAACGCAAAGCAGAGGCAGCAAAAAGCAGACAATAGACAACAATTCTTGAAATGTTCTACATTTTACTTAATACCAATTAAATATTGTACGAGAGTTTATTTCTGCCATGCCGCATGCCAACGGTAAACGCTGGGAGTGGAACTTTGATTTGGAAAAGAAAGGAGAATTATTAAAGGGAGGAACCGGAGCTATATGATCGATCATATCGATACACATGAGTTCTACCTGCTTTATGTTAATACTTTCAAACCATTATTCTCTTTTAGGCCAATCGAAAAGTGACAAAGACACGTAAGGATCACTTCCCATTTCCCATTTCCTTTCTAATTTCTTAGATCACTTTCCTGTTCCTTTATTCCTTCACACAACACTCCTGGTTCCTTTATTTTCTCTCTTTCTA